AAATATTTTTTTTGTCTTTTTCCAGAAGGATATTTTTAGATCTGTAATTACTTATTTCTAAGGTTGCGCTGATTATACGGGAGCAATGTAACTATTTCCACTTTACCAAACCCGTAATTTATTATTTCTCAATCTAGTTCTAGGTTCTGTCCTTACCCCTAGTTTGCAGGTTCTTTCAGGTTATAATTTTACTCAAATTTTTAGGCACCCGGGGGTGCTGGTCAGTACAGGGGTGATTAGTCATTTACGGAGGGATTTCAGTTTTCGAAAAATAAACATTGAAATATTTAGATTATTCCGAGATTTTTCAGATTTTTTAAATGAATGATTTTATTTTCCGTCTCTCTCCCGACTTCGGGTTGCTCCTGACGTAAGTATATAATTTTCCCGCTACAAACCCTGAATAATGTCTCAATTATCCGACCTTTCTTACTCCGACACCTCGTCCTAACCAACACCAAGATCCTGTCCAATCCTAGAATTCTCACTTCCTTCATCACATAGATTCCTTAGTTTCTCAAGGTTTTCAATCATTTTTTAAGTTCTCATGGTACTACAGGATTTACAGGTACGAATGATCGTACTCCAGGCACTCCAGGTTCTCCAGGTACTCCAGATACTCAAGGTAGCTCAAGGTTATTCATGTACTTCATATACTCCAGATACCCAATTTACTGAAGGTACTCCAGGTAATCCGGATACTCCAGGTACTTCAGGTACGTTAAGTACTCCAGATATCTTAGGTACTACAGATACTCCAGATATTTCAGGTACTCCAGGTACTCCAGGTACTCCAGGTACTCCATGTACTCCAGATACTCAAGGTACTCCAGATACCCTAGGTGCTCCAGGCACTCCAGGTACTCCAGATACTCCAGATATTCTGCAGGTTTTCCAAGTATTTTAGACACTCAATGTACTCCAGGTTAGCAAGGTACTAGAGAAGGCCATTAGACAGTCAATGTGCAGTGTACACTAGGAACCACAAGTTTTTTTTTCAGAGCCTGAAAGTTTCCATATGCTCTAGTTCCAATTGCAGGAGCTCCAGTTTTATCAAACTCATAGTTTCTGTTTTTTTTTCATGATTAAAAGGTTCCACGTATTGAGATGTAAAATCAGATAATTGTTAATATTATCTTGTAATCAGAATACGTTTCTCCAAACCTACAATTAATCCTACAAACTANCCCCCCCATTTATAGAGTGAAGTAATGACTTCAAAGCTTGTAACTTGTTTGCAAGCTGTATTGTATATCAACATATTAATTTTTACTTCCCAAGAGAAAATAAAAACTTGGATTTTAAATTTTAAAAACTGTGTTTTCTGCCCTCGATGATCAGTCAAAGGTTTAAAGAGAACCGTTGCAAAATGGGCATTCCCTTCTTTGCATTTAGCGAGACTGGAAATTAGGTTTACAGTCCCTTTAAGCCAAGACCCTTCCCTCCATCCCTCCCTAAATCATTACTCCCCTCCCTTCTACTCCTGGCTAGAGACAGATTGACACAAAAAGAGATAATAATGGCCGCTATTACAGGTGTAATTAGCTTCTATAATGAGATATTTAACCGCTCATTCTCTTTTAACCTGAAGAACATGCAAAAACGTCTTCTTAATAATTCTTGGTCAAACTCAAGGAATCTTGTGATATATGTTGTTTATGCATGTGTACTGTACTGTACTGTACTTTACTGTACTGTACTTTACTGCACTGTACTGTACTGTACTGTACTGTACTGTACTGTACT